AATTATTTTATTATACTGATCATACCGAAATCAATAACTTATCGACTTCGGCCGAATAGACTTCGGCAAATTTTTTTTAGGGTGTCCCAGAATTTATGAAAACAGCTGTAATGCATTGTCCAATTAGTTATGAGATTTTGACATACATACGTACATACGCTGTTAAAAATATACTTCGTAAAATTACATATCACTCTGTTCCTGGTAAATTTTTTAAAAATATTAAAATTGGCCATGCAAACAAATAAAATTGTTTCTCAGGTAACTTTTATATGAAAAAAAAATTTTATAAAATTTTTTATATGAAAAAAATTAACATTTTTTGCCGGCCGGCCGGATCCTAAATTCTTGTTCCATGTAACGAGAAACAACTAATTTAATTTGCATGGTCTTAATTTAATTGTTCTATTAGTAATTAATTCAAAAACTATCTAGTTTTAAAATTTTAACTAATATTATAATAATAATTAAAGTTGCAAATTTTAATTTTTAACATATATTAAAACCAAAGGATTTTACTAAAACGCACCTATAGTGTTTTTACACCATAGGTCCCATTTCTCAAAAACGTACTAAGTAAACGGGATCGGGTTCTCTAAGTAAAAATGTTCAGAACCCAAAAACCTTACGAGAACTGAGATCGGGCCCTATCGGTAGCTCTATAATATATTATATATAAAAAAAAAAAATTCTTAATTTCCTAACCCTAACCCTAAATTTTATTAAAAGAAATTATACATAGGTGCTAAAACACCATAGGTGCGTTTTATAATAATTGTTTGATATAATTAAATGCATATTTCAAAATAATCTTTAGTTATTGTTACGAATTATTAGTTAAAAAGGCATTCATTCATTCATTCATATTAAAATTTATAAATGTGAACAATTCTAATGGACTATATCAAATTAACTATCATTGTTATTTAAGAATTGGATTCGAAGTGGATAAGTGTGAAACGTTATTAGAAACCAGCTAAAGCCAGAAATTAAGCCTGGGTACAGTACAAGATCATCACCAAACACGAACATTTTAAACATTTTAAAGCGATCACGATTTATTAAAATCATTTCACCAAGAATATAATACTGCAAATTCTACAAATGATCGAGGATGGGTCGTCAGTGAAATAATAAAAGATTGCAATATTCATTGTATGATCGAAAAACCAATTTTTTTTTGTTCTAAAAAAACGGTAGTTAGTTTATACAAAAATGAATATCACCAAAGAAATAATGTGATATTGATGTGATCGAAAAATTGTTTTTTTCTTTAAATTTAAAATAGTCTTTTATAGAAAATTTCAGGTATTAAATACGCTTGAAACGAAATATCAGAAACTTATATTTTGTGAGTCAATTATAATATTTATAATCTCAAAGACTCTAATCAAGTGTTAAATTAAAATCGATATCATTACAAAAGGTAACAAATGAATAAAGTACGACAACTGGCGTCCCTTCTGGTAAATGGTTTATAAAAAAATAAAAACATATCATGAACTTGAATAACCTTATTTAAACACTTCGGACAGTAATGATTTTTATGTAATTTATAATGAATATTTATGGAGTTAATTGGCAACTTTTAAACACATAGAATAATAAGTGATCCTTACACGCGTCGTTTCAATTAACATAAATAGAATGTGAGGCATTGTAAATATTTGTTTTATTTTAAATACTTATTCACTAGAGGTTTCAGAATTAACTTTTTTTCAAAATAAGTGAAAGTTTAAAAGATCCTATTTTCTTTTTTAAAATTCCGAATCAGAAAATTAAATAGGCGTAGCCGGTGATAAAATTGGCTTTTTTTTTGATAAACATTCATCGATAAGCGATTTGTACGTCGCTTATTTTGAAATAAATACGTCACTTATTTTATCTGAAATCGGACGTCGAATCATTAATTCTGAACCCCCACTAGATGATTCAGAATTAATTAAATTAGTGGCGTATTTGCTTTGAAATAAATTCTATTTTTTTTATATGATGATAATAGAGAGTTTCAAAGCTAAATCCAATTTTAATTGAAATTTATGAAGTATTTATTTTGAAATAAGTGAATCTTCAGTTTGAACGAAAGTTTTACTTTTTATTTATTTATTTTTTTACGAAGTATTATAAAAATTTTCCAAAGCACTCCCATTTCATTTTCCGATTTTAAAATCTTGAAAAACAAGTAAGTTATTTAATTTCAAAATTTATTTGTTAGCTTTAAAACCCCCAATATTTTATCAGAAAAATGCACCTATTTCATCTAATTTCGGAATTTCAAAACAGAAATTGGATTATTTAAACTACCATTTATTTTCGAAATACTGTAGTTTCAACCTACTATTTAAGTTAACGTGAACAGAAGTAAGAGACATCGTGTAATTATACAATCTAAATATTCTGACCATTTTTGATAAACCGATTTGATATCAGAGTGATAACTTTAAATAAGTAACACGGTGCTAAATTTTACGTATATCGAACTTAGCTTTACCTAAACGCTTCTTATTTTTTGAGGGAAATTTTTACGCATATTATAATTATAGAACTATAATTGTCAAAAAATATATTTGAATTATTAAAAATTTTGCTAAACTTGCTTTAGGACGTAAGAACTTTAATATTTGGAAGCAGAGCTCGTTATATCGTAACAGGTAATAAAAAACCTTTATCTGTTATAAATAGAGATAACGTATTAAGATCTTTTTATTATATAATTACTTATTGCAAGCTTTTTAATGAAAATATAATATGTATCTATTCAAAGATCAGATAAAAATAGGCCTTTTAATACGAGGCACCCATATTGTAAACATAAATTTTACTTTTTATTGTTATTATTTGTTATCACTTCGGTATAGAAATGTGATAGGTTCTTGATGCCGACCCTTTTGTTACAGTGTTACTTCGTTATAAACTTATAACCAATCATAAAGTACAGTACTATTCAATTTCATGTGAAACTATAGGGTCGGATATGACATCATCAGCAGCTCGTATAATTTTGTGCGATACTGGCATTATCGTAGGAATTTATTAATTCTGGCATCGAATGAGATTATGATGAATTTCGTCCAGGAATTTTGGGTGAGTTGTTAAATACTGCTTGCGTGATTCCCTTCGGATCGTTATAATAATATAAATATTTATAATCGAATTTATTTTAGAAGCACTAAAAACAATTTGTGAAACGTTATGCAGAATATAACCTTGCATTTCATGGATTTCGAATAACTATATAAGCTGATTTTCAAACATTTTTAACGCTAAATTTATATATATTCTAGAATATAAAATGGCAACTGACTGGTAATAATATTATTTTTCTAACTCTTTTTTTAAAAAAATTAATCGTATATATAAATGTTTTTTATTATAGGAAGTCATTCTTGGCTTACTGCTTGGTCATTGCCTTTGTGGTGTTATTTCTTTTATTTTATTTTAATCGGATAATAGCATACTTTTTATCACATTTAATTCGAATATACACCTGGCGAAAATATAATGCTTATATTGAAATAGGTAAGATTTTATTTTTACAATAATCGTTTTAAATATGTTTTTTAACTGTTAATAATTAATCATTCTATTCAGGATCGATTCAATTTGCTCCCCTTGCTGGTCGAGTCTTATTCAAGAACTTAAAATATCATTCTACAAATCAATCATTTTCCGTTTTAAAAGGCTATATAACTTGTCAATATTGGTTATGGTCTGTCCGAGAAGAATATAAAATTCAAGAAAGCACCAATGATAGTATTAATGGTAAGTGTGATTAATTAATAATTATCACTCTTGTTTATTAAAATTAACTTTTTTTAATTTTAGAAAATGAACTTCCATGTCGAATAAAGTGTCATGTTGATGGGGTGGAATGGTTTGCTTATAACAGGACTTCAGCATACGATATCCTTGACAAAATTCTGTCGCAAGTACACAATACCAATCTTCCAACAGAGTTTCCTGATTCTTCTAGCATAATTAATAATGAAGTAGATGACATTGCTAGTAATGGATTAAACTTTACATTAATTTTCAAGTCACGATTTATATTTTCATTTCTTCAATCATACTTATTTTGAACACTGTTATTCAGTCAACCTAGATGGCAAGGATGGCAGTGATACCAATGGTGCAAACAATTCTAGTGATTCTTTCTTTTTAAAATTATTACCTATTCAGATAGATTGTGTAAATGGTGCTTTTATATTTGGAAATGCAATGACTTCTTCGCTTCTTGTCATGAAATTTTCTCAAGCCAGTGGAATTTATGGCGCCGTAAAGGTATTATTTATCTCATAATATATATTTAAAGTATATGTTTAAAGTATATGTTTAAAGTATATGTTTAAAGTATATGTTTAAAGTATATGTTTAAAGTATAT